TGATTAACATACATAGACAGACATGGACCAACTTTTTCCCTTGGCAAAAAAACCCCATAATCTCATCTTCTACAAAGAAGAGAGAATGTGCTGATTAATTATGAGAAGAAAAGCTACAGCTTTAATTAGGAACACCTAGGAGTAGTTCATCAAAACACAGAAAGAGGTTTCAATAATAGATGCATTTCTCTAGATCAGCTTCTCCAATAATGAATGAGAGCGGCAGGGAGCTGTGGATGGCAGGGAGTCTTTTTTGCCTTCATTTTCATTAACATCTGATGTAAGTGGCCAATACCGGTAGCTAGGCAGACTGAGAAATAACACGGGTACAAGAGGGTGAAAAGTTACTTTCATATATATATTTTTGTTCCTGCTTATCCTTTCTGCCTTTCACTCCACCTTTGACTTTCTTATTTTTCCTTTAATTTAACCCACGCTAATGAAGGATAGACAGTGTCCCCAGCATGATGGTCTCCAGATCTGTATGGCGGCTTACCATATTTGAAGAACATCAAGTTGGGGAATATTAATGTAGTTTATCGCCGAATCATGTTATTTTCTCATATGTATGTTTATAAATCCATTCTGTCTCATTTCTTCATAAATCTCCTAGTATAAATAGAATAGTTGTTTAAATTTTAGATGTACAGGTCTATTTAAAAGTATTTTTTACATAGGGTTCTAAAATAGATATTTTCAAGGAGCCACAGACAGGCTCAAAGATTTGGAATGGGTTATTTAGGTTATTAAATCTAATTCCTGCCCAATGCAGGAATCCAAAGTAAAGCATCCACAACAAATTACTATTTAACCTCTGGCTATAGCTGGTGAAGATAATTCCACCACTACGTCAACTTCTCACTTTTAGGAAATTTTTTGTAACATTTAATCTGTTTTCTTTTATTTTAAATCCCTTATTTTATGTTCTGAATTCTGGAACAATGGAGAACTTCTCATAGCATCCTTTCAGATATTTAAAGAGTGCTGTCAGATTCACATCAGTCTTCTGAGTGCTAAATCTTCCTATTTCTTTCAATTTCTCTTCATATGACTTAGTTTTTAGTCCCTGGTCATCCTTATTGCCCTTTCTGAACAGTTTGTCTGAATCTTTCTTAAAGTTTACTCAGTCCTTGAGCCGAGGTCTGACCAAGAAAAAAAAAATCAAATAGAATTATTGTTTCCTGTGATTTGAACAGTTTGTTTCCGTTGAAACAAAGTTGCATTTTTTTGACCCACATCATCTTTGTAGTAAATACAGTTTGTAATCAGCTAATATTTAATGTTTTTTTTCAGACCTACTATTGCCAAGGCACATATTCAGCAACTGCGGATTTGATTTCTGTTTCATAAGTAAAGAGCTTTGCATTTGTTTTTATTACATTTTTTATGGAATTTTCATCCCATTTCTCTAACTGAAAAAGTTTGTTTCAAATTTAATATTAACTATTCCATCCAATTTTGTGATTTGCCATTTTGATAAACATTTTATTTACCTCTTCACCCAAGTCATTAGTAAAAAAAAAAACAACCTGAAGAATATAAGACCTTGTACTCAAACCAGCTATGTATTTACACAACATTAAACCATCTAACCTACTCTTGATTAGCTATATTAATTAGAATGTCTTGGGGCACTTAGTCAAATGCTTTGCTGAAATCAAGAAATAGTCTATCTATAACATTCCCACAATCTATTAAGTATCTTATCAAATCACAAACTGTGACAAGGTTAATATGGGAGGAGTGATTCTTGACAGGTTTATGTAACTTCTGGTAACACACTGTTTTCAAACCTTAAAGACTGGTCTCTTTATGAACTACCGTATTCTAGACTTTTTCCAGGAATCAATGTCAAAAAGATTGTTTTATAATTCCCTACTCTGCATTTGAAAATAAGAATACCCTCAAGGCCCTGATGTTTCACCCACTCTTCAGATTTTCCTAAAGTTTGGGCCACACAAATTCCTAGAATACCCTAAGATGTGACTGACTTCCTCCTAAACATTGAAACACCACATTTTTATTTAACTGTGGTTTAATAAGCTCCATCATAACAATATCCTACTCTCTTTTATAGAGCAGATCTTTAATTTAGGTTTAGATATATTTCCTCCCAAAACTTTCTAAAAGTATTTGGCCCTAAAATATTTATTTAAATCTGAAAATAAGTGCATTTCAGCCTTGAAAATATGCAAAATATTGGTTTAACGAAACAAAATCCTCCAGATTTGTCTCCTTCACACCTTCTTTAGTGTTTCCTTTTCCGTTTCTCTTCTAAAACAATCTGCTTTTACTGATGTTCTTTCACAAAAATTAAGAATCACGACCAGGAAAAAATAAAAGCAGACATGTCTGCTGAACTGCATGTTCCATCATTGTTAACCCCAACATGATTTATTATAAAACAGATTCTAAAATCAAAATCACACATGCTGCTCTTTAAAAATGTCTTATCCAGCCTCTTGAATATTCAGTTCAAGCTATTATTTCCTTTCATAACTAATTCTACTGCCAAATTGTTCTTCTCCATAAGGAATGTTTTCTAACATTCAAGCAGAATGTGTTTCCCTGGACTAAGCTTATTATTCCATGCCTTGAGTCAGTTTTCTTCTGGGAGACATTCTTGTATGCACTTGAAGAATGTTGTCATATTATCCTGCAATTGACTTCCTTAATCTTTCTTCAAGGAATTTAATGGATAAGCCTCTGAGGATTGTATACTATCTGCTTCAGTGGTGCTTTACCTTCCAGAGGTACATTGTTAAGAGTACCCAGGTAGCAAACTATTAATGCCGTGAAGCATCAATATGAGACCACTCTGCCTTCAGAAGTTTCTTTACTTAAACAAAATGGTTTCTGTACATTCGCAGAAGTTTATTTGAGGAATGTAGTGAAACTCCAGAGCTGCTTTGTTCCAGAAGTTGGAAGCATGGTGGTGCTATGGCCCTTCCCTGAGGCAATTCAAAAAGATACTTGGCTTACATCTTTATCAAAGCAAGATGTCCCTTAAAAGATTTACACATAGTTGTTTTGAGTTTCCTGTCATCCACATTGTTCTTCAACCTCTTTCCAGTTTATCTGAATCCTCCTTTCCAGGCTGGAACTGGATGCAATATTTGTGGCAGGTCTGGAATAACAGAGTAGATCTGCTGCTTCCTGCACTTTTAACTGCATATGTACTAATACAGCTTAACATCCAGGGTATTTTAGCATAAAGTCAATGAACTAGGGCTTTGTGGCTGAAAAGATGTGTCTGATCTCTGCTGTAGTCAGAGTACAGGAAGAAAAAATAGGTTTCTCTAAATGGGAACTTTTTCCCCAGCAGGACTATCCGTTCTGGCAAACAGTAATAAGGACTTGTTCTAGTTATGGAACTTCTCTATCAATACCAGCTGTGACCTCAATACCTGAAGTTACACAGCATACAGAACTGTAAAATTAAAATTACTATGTAGCCTCAAAGAGACTGGCTGGTCAAAGGGGCAAGAAAAAGTCCACTTACTGCTCACCGATAGCCAGTTCTGTCCCTGGCAACTTAGGATATTAAAGGCATTCTTTTCCAGACTTTTGAGTGTGGAAAAGCAGAAAGAAGCACATTAATTGAAAAGTCTTAAAAATATAGATACTGTGCTTATTTCATATATTGGTAGGCATTTTCCAATTTAAAACAAAATTTCTCAAACAGCTAATAAAGTACAGGCATAAAAGCACAAAGTATAAGACAATTAGCCAAAGACCTATACCTGGTCCAAAAGTCAGAAAAGATCTGAAGGGATTAATGTATTCTTGATGTGGGAAGGTATTTCGCCTCTTGTTCCTTTTTTGCTTGCTACTAATGTTAAAATCTCATGTCCAAAAAGTTTTTACCCATTGTGGATGTAATCAACTGGTACAATATGTTTGTTGTGATAAAGATAAGTTATATTTGAACTGATATTTAGACTTAATAAGAAATGGATAGGACAGAAAAGCTTCACTTCTATCCAAAATACATCTTGAAGAAAGAGATAAATAGGAAGTTTACTTTGTCATTTCATCATTTTTAACCCAGAACACAGATATAGGAACAGAGTTTAAAAACATTTCTTTGCCAATGGGGGGGGGGGGAGAGAGAGAGAGAGAGAGAGAGAGAGAGAGAGAGCTTTTCCCTTATATCTGGGCTGTACAAATCCAGATGGCCAGTAGATGGCAGTAAATAGATACAGAAAACACCATTCCTCTGCTGAAGCTTTGTCAAGATTTTGAGTGTTTTTCAACTTTTGGCAACTTTAAGATGCACGGACATCAACTCCCCATATTTCCTGGCTAGCTTGCTTGAAGTCCATACATATTAAAGTTCCCAAAGTAAAAAAAAACACTGCTCTAATCATTTCCCTAATCCGCTATATGAATATTTCCAATGGAATTTGCAAGGCACCCCCTCCTATCACTCTGGTGGCCCTGGGGCCCAGGACAGAGGACACTGGTATAGTAGGTACACAAAGATTCTAAACAGTTTTGGGTCAGCTCAACAGTTTTAACATATTCATAATATTATGGCTCTCAGCTTTTTATGCTGCTGAGTCTATGTTAACTATTTGGGTGGAATATTGGAACAAAGTAACTTTAGATCCTGGACTTGTTGGAAAGAGGTACTTTAGATATTGTTCTGTATTATAAGTCCTATTTTATTTTGAAAAAGGGTACATTTTTAACTAAAAATCACAAAAAATGATCATTGGTTGACACGAGTATATGTACGGTATATGTGTATGATTTTTTTAAAAATGGTATAATATCAATCCTACCAGGGTTACTACCCCCCATGAACTGATCCTTTGGAAATCACTGGGGACCCTCCCCCCCATGGCTGCAGAATCATGATCTTTTCTCCCAAAGCCCAACCCTAGCCATATTTGGGTACTGTAGAAATATAAATATACCAATAAAGGCATCTCTAAATTATTAAGTTATTTTTAATCTGTTTTTACCTTTTTTGTTTATCTCTTCTTTGAGTGCAGCAGGATATTCCCACTCGAATGAATACTTCTTCTACTTCTGCCCCTGTGCCAGCTCAAGAGACCATCCACACCAAGATGGAGGAACTGGAAGGACAAATCCTCTCTAAGCTTTTAGCTCTGGAGAAAGAACGCACCTCCATCACCAGCAGCCACAATGTACAGCAACAAAATGTCGAAAAGGAGCTGGATACTCTCCATAACCGAGTCTCTGAGCTTGAGCATGGTTAGTGTGACCACGAGGAGCCCAAAATATGGGGTCAAAGTCAGAACTTTCATACATTCATTTTTAGTACATAGTTATATAACTCTGGGTATGGGTTATATTGATTTCTTTAAACAAAGGTTTAAAAACTAGAAAGAATGCACCAAAATGCTGTGCTATTGAAATCTTTATCTCGGAAGTACTTTCTGATTTGGTGCTACAGTGAGTCTCTTCTGCTCTTGCTCCTCAGCAAATATTATCTGATAGCATATGTCCCAAAGAAAAGGTCCATACAGCCATTATAAAATAGCTAGTAACCACTGATTGACACAACCATCTTTTGTCATTTGGATGACACCTCTCTTAAAGCCAGCTACCCTAGTGGCCATCCCCTCCCCATTTGTGGCTGTGGATCCCATAAATTAGTTATGTGCTAAGTGGTATTTCTTGAATCTAAGACCAATTGACCTTGTCATATGATCTCAAATTATGATAGAATATGACTAATGTACTGATCATTTATAAAATCTGACACCCATTTCAGCAGCCCTTTCAGATAACAACTGTCTGATCATATGTCAAAATTATTTCTCAATTTCTGCTAATCTTTCATAATTCTTTTGATTCTTATTTATCTCCTGTGCACATAGAAACAACAGTCTTCAATGCTCCAGAAGCCTTTAAAGTTTCCATCCCTGTACGAAACAACTACATGTACGCTCGGATGAAGAAAAGCTTGCCTGAACTATATGCCTTCACTATCAGTATGTGGCTAAAAGCTAAGAATTCAGCAGAAGTGGGCACCCCTTTCTCCTATTCTGTTCCTGGACAAGCCAATGAGCTTGTACTGATAGTATGGGGAAACAATCCTATGGAACTTATAATTAATGACAAGGTAAGGTAAAGGAGATTCCAGCACAGAATGAATTGAATGGCACAGACACCGACCTGCTCTAAAAATGGCATTAGCTGTAGTAATAATGCACAATTTCCCTAGGCTGGAGGACCACAGTAGCATGGAAGGATTGCACTGCCAAGTCATTTTGATTTGTATGACCTCCCTGTGCAGACATATCTGACACAAATTTACTTTTTATGAATTGCTAAAATATGAAGTGCCTAAGATGACACCTCCCAATGTCAGTGGGAATAGTTGATTTTCAGTGGTATGATTGTTTTACTTATTTTTTTAGAAACAATCTGAAAACAAATAGGTTCAATGTACCTATTTTACCTACTTACAGCACCCCCAACAAAAAGGGAGGCAAAAGATAGATTCTCCACCCCTCTAGCGATTCTGCATGCCAGCAATACACCTCTGAAAATACAATCCCACCCACAAAAAACCGGCTCAGCCCCCCTGATTCACGGGGTCTGAAAGTGACTGTGCTCTGATCCTAGAAAATCAAGGGCCACAGTCATGAAGTAGCAGGAATGGCTTTGCCCAGGTTTGGTTGCTTTTCCTTTAGATGTCTATAATGCTGTCTGCATGGAACAGCCCTTGAAAAGTGTTCAGAAAGTACAGAAAGAAGCAAAAGCAACATATTTTTGTTGTGGCCTACTTTTGTAGACCTCTCTTGGATATATTTTCCTACTACACACAATTCAGGCTGGGGATTTTAGTCTACAAAACAAAATGGTTTGGGTTCAGGCTTTCTGAAGGGCAGCTGTCTTTTCCTGTGAGTCCATCTAAATTTTACAATTCTAATTGAGAGGTCTGTTATATGATCTACCATGTAGAGATACAACGTTGCCAAGTACTCACGATGGACATCTTTGGGTAGTGACAATCCAGCTGTGGAATCCCTTTGCAATCAGATTTTTCTTTGGAAAAATGACCAGAAAGATTATTCTGTTCCATTCAGTTTTATCTGTCTTATGTATTGCCATAATGACTCAGACAAGTCATTCTAGACTAAAAGACTTTTGGGAAACCAACTGTGACAGTGATGGGTATGGCAATTTTAGGAAAGGACAAAAAAGCATCTACGAAGCATCTATTTGCACTATGCTGTTAAGGCAGTCTCTGTTCTGTTCTGTTGGAAAGGTGGCTCATCTGCCCATGATTTTAAAGGATGGGACATGGCACCATATTTGCATTACATGGATCACTCGGGATGGCATTTGGTCTGTGTATCAAGATGGAGTGGAGCATGGAGCCAGTGATAACCTAGCATCTTGGCATTCAATCAAACCTCATGGGGTGATGATCTTGGGCCAGGAACAGGTAAGTCTGATTTCTCCACATGATTTTGGAAATTAATGACCAAAGCAATATTCAAGCAACTTGATTAGCAGTTGAACTAAAGAAGCAGAATTTGAGTCTAAGAGATCCTCTATTAGTCTTCTCTTGACCCAAAGAAAAACCCATCAGCCTTGAAATTTAGAAAATTAAAAGATTTTTGGTTTAAACTGGAGTCCCTGAAACCCAGGGAACATGAGCATGAAATAGCTTTTCTAACCCTGTATGGTTTCCCTATTTGTTGTCATTCATTAACATCCTCATCCCTCCAAAATATGAAACACAGCCCTTGAAACTGAAGAATTGGCAACCACTACACTAAAATGAGTAGTTACCATCAGTAACAATATTTTTCTATCCTACTATTTTCTAGTTTTTTCTTCAACATTTTAACCCATTCTTCCCATTTACCTTGTTTGTTTTCCCATTTCTCCATTTTGATGCCACAGGATACATTGGGAGGGAGATTCGATGCAACTCAGGCCTTCGTTGGGGAAATTTCTCAGTTCAACATGTGGGATCATGTCCTGATGCCAGCAGAGATCGTGGGTCTGGCCAACTGCACCAGCCAGCTGCAAGGCAACATAGTCCAGTGGGATGAGAAGTTGGTTGAAGTCCATGGAGGGGCAGCCAAATTAAGTTTTGAGATCTGTGAGGCAAAAATGAAGGCATAAAGGACTTTCGTTCCTGCCACAAGAAAGGAGCATGCAAGCCACATTTCCTTCTTTCAATCTGCTTTGGGAAAGAAAGAACAACAGTTCCTTTCCCCCATCCAGCAACCTCTTACAGTCAGCCTGGAGAGGGGGGATGTTGTGTGTGTGTGTGTGTGTCTGTGTGTGTGTGTTTGTGTGTTTGAGAGAGAAAGAGAGAGAGAGCACATGTATACAAAGAAGCCTTCTAAACTTAAAAATGAAATTATGACACTATTTTTCATTGTTTCAGTAAAATATTTTTTAATTCATTCTGTGAGTGACTAGACATTCCACTAAGGAAGCTAAAGTGGTTGGAAAGTAGCCAATCTCTGAAGAGCAGTATGAGAAAGGATAAAAACTGTATCAGTAGGAAATTGTTGGTAGAATTAGCATCTCCAACACTTCCAATCTGTTCCATTGCTGATACTTTCAGTGATGCTACTTGAACTCTGTTGATTGGGATTGTAAAAGCATTAAAGCACTGTGTTGACATTTACCACTATAAGTCACTGACAGTCTAGAACACAGGTGTCAAACTTGCCACATTACGTGACGTGTTGTGGTGTTGTGACGTATCGCAATTCTTTTTGCATTGCCAGCAATGGGGTGGATGTGACTTCGGTATGATGAAACCGGCCTGTGGGCCGGCAAGTTTGACACCCCTGGTCTAGAATACACAACCCAATATACTTCTGCATGTCCTCACCAGGATGTTCAGCTGTTTTATCTTTCTTCTGGCTTTAGTTCATAGTCTTCCTTGTAAGGTAAAGCATTATCACTAAGCAAAAAGTGCCAGAGGTTTCCTTGACTTCACAAAGGCCTATGCTTGATGTTCAGATTTTTTTTTTACACCAGAGATATCATTTCCCTAATCAGTTACTTGAATTCCTGTGTTGCCCTGCCACTCTTTTTTTGTTTCTCTAGATTATATATTTTCAAATTGTTTTTTAAACCTTTCTTATAAGCCATAATGACAGATTTTAAGAAGGGCAAGTTCTAAGTGGTAAGCACAGAATATGAGCAGTCCTGGTCAACCCTTTTTCTACCCTAGTTTTCCCTTTCATGGCTACCTTTCCCTTCTAAGGGCTGACTCTCATTTTGGCTCATTTTGTTTATCATCATCACAGTGATGCAGCTGATTGTGTGAATTGTATTCATTAAAAAGCATCGTGTCTGAAGTGATGTGGTATGTGATGTGGTATGATATGAAATGTTATGCTCTATGATAGCTTTTTTATCCATGCATTCTCCTCCTCTGAATTTCAGCTCAAAGATTTATCTGTAAAAGTCATGCTTTTACTGTAGGATTCTGAGAGTTGAAATCTATATACCTGAATTATGCCTAAGTCAAAGAAAGTTGGCCAAACCATTTGACTGGATGAATTGTTAATTCATGATAGAAAGCTTTTAATAGTTAGAAACCTGTTGGGAAATAGGATTTGGGACCACTCATTATTGTCTAACAATTTGATCCTGCTATCCAAAAATGCCATCACAAAAAGTCTTACACCACTGCAATAAATATACCACATTCTGCAAAACTCTGTAAACTGCAGAGGAACACAATAGGCAAGGAGGTGCAATTGGGAAAGGGAGCTTGTTAGACAATGAGATGAATTCATTTACTGTATTTTATATATCAACCCAAGAGAGATTCTCCACATTTTACTGAGAAATCCTGGTACCGTTGCTATTTGTCTTACCCCTGATACATACTGGATCTTACAGTAGGCATTCTCCTCCACTGCATTATTAGCTCACATATTTATGGCTAAGCTTATAAGTGTGCCACTGGAAATATGGTTGTGGGTCTTACTTGACAGATAGCCCTTAGTTAAAGGAGCTTTTGAAAATCAAATAAGGATGGGTTGTATTTTGGCAACCAAGGAATGCACCCATCATGTGGTTGGGATGCAAAAGCTATAGAAGGGAGAACAATGAAACAACAGTTTGTAGGCAGAGTTGTGCTCTACCTATGAGACTAAGATTTTCTGATTTTTCATTGACTTTGGCAAGTGAGAGTTTAGAGTTTTGTTTAATCCTTCCTTTTAAAGATATATTAAAACTAGAATAGGGCTTCTACTGCAGTGTTTGGATTCTCCTGCTTCATTTATTTATTTATTTATTTATTTCACCATTATTATTTTATATAAATAACTCAATAAATAACTCCTTCCTCTCCTATTTTCCCCACAATATCCCTGTGAGATGAATTGGGCGGAGACTGGCCCAAAGTCACCTAGTTGGTTTTCATGCCTCAGGCAACATTAGAACTTATAGTCTCCCAGTTTCTAGCCTGGTGCCTAGACCATACTGGCTATCACAGTCAGAAGTGTGCAAGGAGGTGCAGAACAGATTCTCAGATCACTTGTGGCCAAGCAGAATGCTCTAACCTAAGTGAAATATAAAGAGTGGCCAGAATTTAGACATCAGATCTTTGGTTGTTCGTTTGTATGTTTGTTTTACTAAGTAGGTTGGTTGAGTGAGATAAAAGCATTTGCAGTCAGTAAGGAAAATGCATTGGACAGTTTCTTTATTTCACACATTTGCGTATTTCCCAAGTCATTTGTCCTGAACAAGAAAGGCTCCCTTTCTCTCTTGAAAAGTACTGATTTAATTTCTTTGCTCAATAAGGCATCTCTTGCTATTAGTATGACAAATGAATCAATCTCAGTGCACCACTTACATATTAGAACTTAATGTTCCTTCAGGTCTTGATCCTAATCAAGAGTCAAGACCCTTACGGGCCTTTGTGGCTTCAAAAACAATGATAAAGGTCAGTCTTCTCCAATCTGATGCTCTCCAAACTCCAAGCTAACCCAACGTCTGGAAAGTCTGGTGAACACTGGTATAGTATATTAGTAATATAAATAATGTTAGTATTGTTTTTTTAGGGAGTGAAGAAAGTCCTCCATTTCAGCCACAAGACACAACTATCCCCACACTGACTTCCTCATATGAAAAGCAAAGAAAAGATTTTTGGGTTAGATCACATGAATCTATTCTAAATATATTTTCTCAAATGTATCATGTGATCTTGGCTAGGTTATTAACAATTAATATTAAATTCTAGATAAAGCCAAAGGGGAAAAAAAAACAACTCAGGATGCTGCACTAAAATCTGCAAACCTAAAAATATTCAGCTCTCCAAACTTTCCAGCAGAGAACTAGCTGCTCTTTTTTCAGTCTGGTTTTTCTTCTTATTGTACCTCTCCTGGGACAAAATAATGACACCTGAAAAAATCTTCAGCATTCCAGGTTTTTAAAAAATGGTACCAGAGAAATGGAGGAAGGCACTGGAGAGCTATAGAATCTGCTCATATGGTGAAATACAACCAGCAGTGCTTACTTGTATACCTTTGAGTGCCAGATGACACAATTGTTTTAGAAATTCTGAATCTACTGTATTATGCTCCCTCCCCTACCATAAACCTTTCTACTTGACAATACAAAACATGTGTATTTATTCTTTCTCTTTTAGTTTCTCTCTGATCAGATGGAGTGAATGAAGACCAGGTAGAAAAGGCTTGTTCATATTATATGAACCATTAAGGAGAGAGTTATATGTGAGGATTCTCTTTTAATGGATAAAAATCTAGTATAGCTTTCTCCAACTAGGGGTCCTCCTGGTATGTTGGATAATGTGATGTACACGTTGGAATTATGACACACATTCCTTAACTGTACAAGTAGCCTTGTACATTTAAGACTGGGAAGATTAATGTAGTGTGTAGCCACTTGTACATTATTACATAGGAAATGTAGATAAGCATTATTTTCACCAAGTGTACACTGCAGAATCATATTATACGGAGACAGTTTGCTTCTAGTTTTCCCCAGCATATGTGTAATGATACAAAGGTGTAACCCTGCTCTATGAATTATAAGAATTATCCAACAGGCCAATCTTTAATCTGTACCACTAAAAAGATTAACCTCAAATTGTCTCATTGCCTACGAGGACCAAACTATTCAGAGGAAGGAGTGAGCATAGGAAGAGAAGCAATCCTGTTCAAATTGTAAACACTGTGATCATAATATCCCAAGCCTGTGGGAAAGAATAAGTTCTCTAACCATCACCTTCTTCTCTTTCTCTCTTCCTCCTGTATATCTGTTTAAAAGGATGTGATATATGTGCAAACATGTATGTATCATATGTTTGGGTTTTTTTGTTTTTTGGGTATATTTGACAGTTGACAATAAATTTGATGTTTATATTTGATTCTCTTATGTGTGAATACATTAAATAGGAAGCTGATGCACTACATGTTATGGCCATTTTTAGAGCCTGGTAGACAATATTTTTATCACTCTGTTAACAAAGAAAGAATATACATAAAAGGTAATTGGTGAAAGGAGTAGAAAATTTAGCAAGCATTTTAATTTTAGTGTAACAATATCTCTGTCTAAGAGAGCAAGCCTAACTATAATTTACCTATAGTGTCAATTCATTCAATATTTCCTTACTATGTGCTAAACCATCTTGATCAAGATTATTCAACATGTAGCAACTTGTTCAACTTCCTGACCTAAACCCCTCCAGTTTCTAATATCTTCTGCCAGCATGGCCAAACCTGCCTTTGAAAGAAAAAATGCCTCTGAGCATTACTTACAATACTCTAGAGTCTATAGATATTAAAGATTTGATTAAATTCATATCCCACCATCCCTCTGAGTATTCAAGACAGTATACAACATTTGCTCTATTTTTTTCTTTTACAAAACATTCTGGTAGTACAATAAATTATTCTGAGAGTGATTGACTGAGCTCCATTCAATGAAAGGTTAATGAAAAGTAGAGTTAAACCTGTGATTTACTGATGAGATTTATAAATAGCCCCAATCTAGCACAATGTTATGCGGTTTACAAAATAAGATAATAATAAACATAAATATGCATAACCTAAAAAAGAAAATTCAGGAGAAAAAAAAACAGTTCCCAAACTGAGGGATGATCTCAATCAGTGATCTCGAATAGTTGTTAATCAGGAGTGCAAAAGGATAATCCCTGAAACATCCCTTATCAATGAGATCTTTGCTGGAACTTTCCCTTCTGTCAACCACAGAGAAAGGAGGAAAACCACCAAGACATCAGGCTTCCAGGTCCTAATCCCTCCAACTGATCTAGAAGAATACCATTTATTTAATATAAAGATAAGATAAAGATAACCTTTATTGTCATTTTTTACTGTAAGCACACTGGCCCACATTAAAAATGAAATTCTGTTGCAATATCATCATATTGAAAGTCACTGAGTGATCAAATAGATTGTACTACCTTCATCCTAACTCTGCCAAAAGTCATAAACAAGCCTAACTAATGCTGATTCAATGTTAGCACTGGTCTGAAATCCAACCACCTTCGCAAAAACTTCCCCCCATTTTACAGATTACAGAATAGAAAAGAATTGCAAAGATTTCTTGAGAAAGGATCATACAGCTACTTCCTTCAAAGCAGATTTAGCACCCATTCCTCAAAGCAGTAAATACTATTACATATCATTTCCTGGCTGGCATTCTCTAACTGAAAGAACCTTTGATCTAATACAGAGATGGCTGGGTTTATCAACTCAAGGTTCTACTCCATTTGTTGCAAGTTCAAACTCACCTCACCTACCCAGACAACCCATTTTTCTATCATCTCAACATGCTTGCCCCATCAGAGTCCAACTCCAAGAAAATAATGAGCAATTTTATTTACTGAAGAACCAAGGGACCCCTTGGAATTGATGCACAGTGAGAGGCCAGACCTAGAGTCAACTCAACACATGGCTAAAACTATTTTTATTAAATGTGGCTATAATAACAAAATCTTACAAGTTTGATTTTGCTGTGCTTTCTCCCCCTTTTATACCCATGTGAATTAGGGAGATATTTGTCCAAGCTGCTTACAAATACTTTCTACTTGGTTTGGACTTAAGCTATGTTTTTCTCCTCTTTGCTTTAGTAAGGGATCTGTTTTTGTCAAAGTTATCTTCCATACTTTCTACACTACATCAGAACAATCTCATCCAAGGTCTGTGTCACATGTCCATTCCAAATGGCTACAGGTAATTCAGTAAGACTACCTATCAAATTTTCAGGAAAGTCTCAAGCTCCCTCTAGAATCCTATTAGTCACCTGGACTGGATCAATCCAATTTTATACTTATTTACAGTATTTATTGTAACTCAAAAAAACTCTTGGTAATGTACAAATGTCAATTACAACTACAAAAACAATACTTTAAAAATTAATATCATAAAATGGCAACATACTAAGATGTGCTACTACACAGCAATTGAGACTCCATTCATCTGGACCCAATCCTAGGGGGAAAGCCCTTACCTTATCTTTCTGCCAGGGAGTGAAAGGTGGGGCAGAGAATATAACATTAGTGAGCTAAAAAATCATCAGAGAGAGATCTAATTATGATACCGGACTTAAAGAAAATAGGTGGTTCAAAAATGTGGAAAAAATGAAATTAATAGCAATACAAGCTTCTTCCACCACCAACACCACTGCTGAAACCACCTTTGAATGCAAGACAAGAGAATTGCCAAATAGTCCATATTTGAAGAGTAACACATCGCATTCTTAAGTTTCAAATACATCCCCTGCATACCATTAAACACTAGTTCACATGAACTAACCCCAATTTCAAACACTCTATAACTCTAACTACATTCAACCAACTATCAGCTCTGAATATTTTAGAAGAACCTTCTTTCCAGGAATCACTAAAGTGTAATGCAGCACTTCAAATGTTCATCCCAAAATGCAAAACCCCTTGTGGATAAACATTCATTCAGTTTGCTCCCATTGTCTCTTCTCTGGCTTCTTCAAAAACAACCTCTACAGCAATGTGCCAAAGTAAACAGAAACATGAGGGTTCATGATAATTAAATCTGAGATAAAAGACAAACAATGGCAATCTTGTATGTTTGATTCATATCTTACAGATGACAACAGTAGGCTTGGGAAGAATTGCATAGGCTTCTCCTAATTGAAAAAATCAGAACACAAGTCCAGTTTATAACATTAGAGTGTTGTTGTCAAACATACAATATTGGGTTAGTTTTACAAATTATTTAAGTTTATATAATATAGCTTCTGTGTTTCCATAATAGAGACTTCTTTCATTAAGCCCTCTCCATATGTTCATATCGCAGCTTCCAGAATTCCTAGTCAACACAGTCAATCCCATGATGATTATGGAATATTCAAAAATATATTTAAGAGTTCAGTTCAAAATAGTCCAATCCTCCTTTATCATATTGATCAGTTCAGTTCTTCAATATTAATTCCTTGATTTATGAATCCTGTTATACTACAAAAGGCTCATCATAATAAAATTCATAGTCACTGCAGAATTTCTTTTTGGGAAGAAGTTGCATGATTTATTGCTTCCAGCAGTATTTTTGCCATATACTACTTAGCATTAGGAAGCAATCCATCAATGAAATATCCACAGAGCAGTAGAAAGCTAGTGGCCACCTACACAGTTATTTATAACAAACTTTGTATCTCCTGCTTTCACCTTCTTATGGCAGATTTGCAATACTTGAAATCCTCATGCATGACACATTGATATAAAATTGATATGTAAACATAGGTACAGTAAATGAAGTACATAGATTTCCTTTACATGACTCCACGCTACAAAATATTGCTATCTTTAATGGTATTAATTCTGCCAATTCACCCACAAAAGTTCTGAATCTCAGATATCCACAGAGAGGCAAAGTTGGTAAACTTAAATCATGATATCATAATGCTAAAAGAATACTGTAATTTATCACTGGAAGTAAATATGTACAAATTATATTTGTATCATGATAGCAATATGTTATTTTGGTATAATCTAGATGGGCTGCAAGTCCTTGTGTGATAAATTTACAGATAAGATTATTAGGCCTTCTGAGCACCAGTGTTAAGAGAGAAATAACTCCTAGCAAAGTGGGCTTTCCCGTGGCTTGAAGTGGCTTTATCCACTAGTGTCTATGGCTGGCAGGAAACAACTTTACAGAGGAATTAGTTTTAAACAAAGCATTAACTCTTACTCACATGAAAGACTAATCAGTCTTTCCATTGTGAAAACCAGTTCATAAGAGGAAACTGAATACTGGAAGGACACAGTCTTCAAAAGTGTAATCTGCTTGCTATGCTCCAGACTTCTTAATATATTGATACCTCTTTTTTGGTTTAGATTTTGAAAAAAAACTCATTTCCTTAAACTGTATTATTCTTTCCAAAATCATATTAATAAATGTATGGATATTAAATCAAAAGGGAGCACTAGTGGGGCAGCTCTATCTCATAAATTTAGATGCCTTATCCATCATTTTACATGTTCAGCATCATGAAACTGGTAGACAGCTCTATTTAAACAATCTCTGAAGTATGTAATATATGATTATTTTTTCCCTTAGAACTTCTGATTTACAATTATGAAGTCAAATACTAATGTTTAAAAATGGCTGATTTCTTGAATCAGAATCATTGTATTATTTGTTCTGAATATCCTTAATAATAGAAAAATTGCTTCGTGGTTACTTTTTCATGCTAGAGACCAATAATTTACTAGGCCTTTCCATTTGCTCCCAAGAACTTGGCTTTATATTCTATATCAATTGTGTAAGAGGAATTAAATTCCTTTTGTGTGTGGCAGCACAAGGAAACAACAGCCAAAGACTTAATAGCCAGCCACCAATACCCCAATCAACATCTAAAAAGCCACACAGGCACCATATAAATGCCACACACTCTGCTGGTGAGAAGTTCCCTGAGGATGGGCTCCAGCCCCAGTCTGAACGCTCGGAAGGCTAAATCTCTGCTCCTGGTGACTGACCCAGATTGGATCCTGTGGCAAGAATCTTGTATCTTCAGCTGCTTTATTATTATTTTTTTACTATGTTCTCAAAATTGCCTTAATTTTATTTATAATTATCAGTGCATCTGCCGTCGTCCGTAGAGCGGGAACAAAGAAGACCGGCACACACCGACATCCAACGAGCACTTTATTATGCGAGTAAGGCAAAGTCAGCACTGGGAGTGGTTTCCTCCCAACGCAATATATCGACGTGCTCCACCCTGTGGGCCCGGCCCCGATCCCAAACCAACATCCGGTCGAGATGAATAAATGCTCCACCCTTTCCCTGTGCTCTCCCTTTCCCCGACGGAGCTCCGTCCCCACACCCCTTCGCCCGAGCGTCCGATCCGCGCGTCAGCTGCCCGCCGCTA